TTCTTCTTTCTTCTTCTTTCTTCTTTCTTCTTCTTTCTTCTTCTTCTTCTATTGGGGATTGAACTCAGGACCCTGCACTTGCCAGGCAAGCACTTATTCTACTGAGCCATCTCCCCAGGCCTGAATACTGTTCTTATAATTAGCTGAACTAAAATCTCCATGAGTGCAGAAAAATAATGATCGTTTTACTTGCTGATACATAGAGCACTATTTATTAGTTTTAACTTTGCACATCTTTTATGAGGAATGTTTATTATAGGGAGGAATTTCTTTAAAAATGGGAAAATTGTTTCATGTGGACTCACAGAATCCTTGTTCTTATGAACTATATTTTAGAATAAGAAAGTCTGCAATTTTTATCACCCTTTATATCTTCAGGTATAAAAATCCCAGTAAAATATGAATATCTCATGTAAGTTTCTGATAATCCCCACTTTTTGCTCTTGTTTTGGAAGGCTGACAGATAGCTTCTGGTGTATCTTGCTTTCCCATGAAGTAGACATTTGTGGTGATGTACAGCCAGTATGAAAGGAAGGACGTGCTGTGGTCTCATAAGTTCCACATCCCGGCCGAGGAGATAGCTCAGAGGAATAAGTGCTTGCCTGGCAAGTGGAGGGTCCTGAGTTTGATCCCTGGTACCACCAAAAAAAAAAAAAAAAAGAAGTTCCACATCCTGCTCATGTTCATTCACCTATCATGTTCTTTTTGGAGAAAAGCTAAGGCTCCTCAGACTGAATTTGGGTTTTTCTTGTTTCTTGATTAGAAGGTATCCTTCTTTATAGTTACTGAATAAGTATTCACAGTCTACTAAATACTGTATTAGATCCTGAACCAGAACATCAACAAGATGTTTAGAATGCAGATGCCATTAATGTTCTCTGTCTTGGCATAATTTTTAGTTTATCTTATCAAGGCTCATGAGGGCTAAAGGGATGGTAGGAGTTAAATCCACTGAGGGAGAATTCCTAGGAAAGTGAAGCTGTCTAAAAAATTAATAAACAGGGCTGGAAACCTTCAGCAAAGGGAAGGGATTTGCCCATTCTCCCTGGTATTCCTGGGCTAAGTCCAGAACAGATTATGTGTGTAAACTTAGGTCGTTTTTTGACCTTTGTTTCAATTAAAAAGAATCTACAGCAACAGTTCTTAATTACAAGTGCACATCGGAAAAAAAAAAAAAAGAAAGAAATACCTGGAAACTTTTTCTTTTTGTGCAAGCTCTTAACTCATCACAAGAGATTATAGGGGTCCAGGGAGATGGCTCAGTAGAATAAGCACTTCCCTGGCAAGTGCAAGGGCCTGAGTTCAATCCCTGGTTCCACCAAAAAAAAAATAATAATAATAATAATAATTATAATTCTAAGTCTGGAGTAGGGCCACAAGCATCTATATATTAAAAAAAAAACACACCGGATTTTTACCACTGATTAGAAACCACTGGCTTACTGTAGTTGATTTTCCTAAAGCAATCTTGGTACTGTGATCTCACCTGTCTTTTTCCTGGTATTGTTTTCATTTTGTATTTTTGTGTTCACATGAATAATTCTGAGTATGTATAGTGGATTTTGGTGCTCTGGCTCTTGTGTATAACACATAATCATCCTTCTCCAGTTGCTGATGTGCGGAACTGGAGATATCAGTGTGTCTGACTTTAAAGCCCATGCGGTGGTGGTTGGTGGTTCGTGGCATTTCAGAGAAAAAGTAAGTGAGCCAAACTTCCATCAGTTGAATTTGTGTCTTCTCAGGAAAAGGTTTTAGAAGAGAAAGACAGAGGGCTCAAGGCAGACATGTTGACAGGAAGAAGCAGTGATACATGTGGGAAAGACAAGTGGTTAACCACGCAGAACAGCTCTGGTTCCCGATGGCTGTTATACTGACTGCCACAGGAGCAATAAATTGGAAATGCAAAGAAATAGAACCAAGCAGTCAACAATTACACACCTTGCCTGTATGACAGTGTAGATTCCTTGGTTGTCAACTCTGACCATAGAACTATAAACTAGGACATAGCAAGGACAGCTTATTCCTTCCCCCAAGGTTCAAAAGCAAAACTCCTACCACTTGTGATTCCAGCCATGTACTCTCCCTGCCAGGTTATGAGGTGGTTTTGGACTGTGGTTTCCAGTCTAACCCAAGAGGAGCTGGCTCGGCTGCTTCAGTTCACAACAGGTTCTTCTCAACTACCGCCTGGAGGCTTTGCTGCCCTCTGCCCCTCATTTCAGATTATCGCGGCTCCAACCCATAGCACGCTGCCCACTGCACACACGTGGTGGGTATCTGGCTGTCTGGTGCATGCCCTTGTGGAAGATTATCTTTCCAGCTGTGGCCGCTGTTTCTGGTGGCATGCGTTAATCACTCCTCCTCTTGCCTTTCCAGTTTTAACCAGCTGTGCCTCCCCACATATGACTCCTATGAAGAAGTGCACAGGATGCTGCAGCTGGCCATCAGTGAGGGTTGTGAGGGCTTTGGTATGCTCTGACCGCGCTCCTGCTGTCTTCTTAGCGCCGTGTTCTCTGCAGCATCTGGGCGCGTGTTACAGGCATAAACTGACCCTAATGTGCACAGCCATCAGCCAGAAGATGCTGCATGCTTCCCTCTGTCTGGATTCCTTTGTCACCTACGGGCCTTGTCCTTGCCTTACCCCTCCCTGCCCACAGGCAGCACAGGCCCCTTTGTCATGGTACCTAAACTGAGCTCTCTGGTTGGTCACGAGAAGACCGTACTGCTGTCTTACGATTTGGTTCTTTGAAGAGTTCCTCAGTGGCTGCAGGTAACATGTGGCTTAGCCTATTGGGAAGTGCACGTGCAGAGAGCCTTGAGTCATGGCTGGCTCCCGGTGCCGATGCTCCTGAAGGTGCCCGCTTGGCCCCCCGCTGGACCAGATGGATGTAGGAGTCCCTGTGCTGAGCAGGTGATTGCTTATTTCCGTGAGCAGCCAAGACAAGCACGGAGAGAAACTGGGCCACATGAGCAGTCTTTGATTTTGTCCTCCCACACAACGCAGACACAGGCTGTGGCATGGCATTACCTCTCTGAGGACTGACTGTACAGAAGTTTTTTGTTTTTTGGTTTTTTTTTTTGTGGTGTCAGAACTGGAAAACACACTTTCCCTGCAGACAATTCTGCAAGTGGCCATTAATGCATAAAGAACTTTCTGGCTTTGTCTTAAATATGAGCCTTTGAGAAAAGCAGTCGGACTAAAGATGTGAAGGGTGGGTAGGCCAGAGCCTGCAGGGCTCGGTGTGACTCTGCTTTGGGTTGAGAGGTTTGTCCCAGCACATGGCTGGCTTGAGACTACTGATGCTTTCCCCGAGTTCATTACTTGTACCGCCTGCCCGCGGTGTTACAGTCCGTTAAGATCTGGGGAGTCCTTAGCATTGTGCTGAAGGAAGTTGGCAGCGGAAGACTGGGGAATTAAGAATAACAGTTCCTTATCCCTTTGCTTGGTGTTCCCTGGTAGCACTGAGCAGGACAGAAATGACCACAGGTCCCTGGTCTGGCCCGCTGGGGAAAGAGTGCAGGTGTGTTAGACAGCAGCTACCTGTCATCCCAGGTCCTTCCCTTACTCCATCAGTTCCCAGGAAGGGGAGCAGCACAGAGGGAAGAAGCCGCGGCTGGGCGTGCTCACCACTGAGCAGAGATGGAAGAGAAGCTGCCACCATCACTTGGAAGAGGACGTCACATCAACTTCCCCAATTTCTGTTTTTCAGACGGCTCTGCTATAAGCTACAAGTCCCAATGGGACATTCAGCTCCGAGACTATTATAAGCCATCTTTATTGCCAAAACCAGCAAGTACACGGTCCTGATACAAGCAGGACTTTTGGCCATGCCTTGGTCTCCCAGAAGCATGTCTGAGCCCTCCCTGTTCTCAGGGATTCTGAGGAGCAAGCCCTCCTGAGCTGCTACAGTTCCTGCCTGACCTCACTTCTTTGCAATTATCATCTGTCCTCTTGGCATGGGTGCTGACCTCACTCGTCTCTGGGGTCTGGATCCAGCGTCAGGGCCTCCACACCCCAGGGTCCTCCATGCCACATGGTCACTGAGCTCCTCAGGGACAGGACAAGGTGCTGCTGCTTACCTACATTTTCCCCCTTGGGATCTCTATGGGAAAGTTTGATCACTGTCCTGTCACCCTCAGGCCCAGGTAGGGGGTCCCGGGGGTGCAGGTGGGCTAGTTCTGCTACTTTGGGTGGTTGGTTTTCTTAGGTTCTTCATTGCCACTTTCTCCCAGACAGCCCTACTGAGACTGCTGCTTGAGATCACGTTGATTTTCTTGGCTCCAGTCAGCACCTTTTCAGCATGTCCTTGGCACCACTGTACCCTAGCTAGGGCAGCTGCGTCCCTAAGGTGGTCTCGTAGGTACCAGAGACTATATAGCAGAACCCTTTGGTAAGCTGGACATGATGACACATGCTGGGAATCCTTGTACTCTGCGAGCTGAGGCAGGAGGATCATAGGTTTGAGCCCAGCCTGGGCAACTTAATTAGACCCTTCAGACCCTGTCTCAAGATACAACATAATACAAAAGGGCCTGGGGATGTGGCTTAGTGTGAAGGCCCTGGTTCACTGCCCGGCACTACAAAAAAAAAAAAAAAAGAAAAACCGAAAGAAAAGAAACAAGAGAAAGCCAAACCCTTTGGTACTATTGTGGCATTCTGACCCACTTTACTCTTTCTTCTCCAACTTTGTTCAAAAGTGTCTGCTTTTATGCCTGTTGTTTTTACCTTTTTTTTTCTGTCTCCCTAATCCTGCTTTGGTACTAGCCAGTGTGGGGAAAAGGTACATGTTAGTGAGAGGATGAATGTGTTATGGGGGGAGGGGGCATTTTTCTATTCACATTTCTTATTTTAGTCAGTTCTTTTATTTATGCCCTTGTGGCTTAGACACATGCGAAGCCAGCTACTCTCCAGGCCTTCGAAGGAGAACGGACCTCAAGTGGACACCAGGGAGAGCGACAGCATGCTTTCAGAGATTCAGCAGAGATGCAGCCTGGTGCACATGGCAGGCCAGTGCAGAGCCCAGCATTTATAGCTGGTAGTGTAAATATTTTGTACAATAAATGAATGTCTACTAGAAGAACCAATGAGCAAGTGACTGCTGCTTTCAGTGGAGATTCAAGGTTTAAATTTAAGATGGTGGAAAAAGCAAGTAGACATGCTTTGGTTGGCTCAGGGTAGACGACCGGGAGTGCCAGTCTGTCCCCCAGCCTGGCCTTCCCCTGCCCTGGTTCCTGTCAGTGGTGTTAGGCTGGACCACCCTCCCTGCCCATTGTCCCAGACGGCATCCAGGAGGCAGACAGGTGTTTGTGCTCAGCTCCTAAAGAAGACAACGATTTGGCAAGAGCGAAAGGACATCCATTATCTGTCTTTAGAGAATTTGTTGATTTACTGCATAAGAAACAGTATCGAAAATTTGGAACTAAAAAATACAAGGGAAGTAAGTTACTTGTTACTCAGAAGAAACTATTGTTAACCTTCAGGTATAAAGTCTTCCAATTTTCATAATACATTTATTTCTCACCACCACCTCCCTACCCTCCCAGAGGGCTTTGAATGTGGCAAACAAAAGAAACACTACTAAAAGTTCATGGGTGGTAGTTGGTACCAGTTCAGTGAAAGGTAATCTTGACAGAGAAGAAAGGCTTGTGCTTTGGGCCCAGAAGGAAAAATTTATGGCCAAGAACTCTGACTTTCTTGGAGTAGTAATCATGGTGTCCTATGCATTATTAATCATAGTGTCCTATACATTGGACTCCAGTCCAGCAAGGCAAATCCAAATAGTGTCTGAATCTTTTTTTTTTTTTTTTTTGAGAGGCAGGCAGCCATTCAAACTCTGGACCTTACACTTGCCAGGTGGGTGCTGCACCACTGAGCTATATCCCTGACTGATTTTTTTTTTTTTTTTTTTAAGAGGTACAGATTGTCCCTTCCCCTTATATCTAATGAGTTGGAATCTTAGCTTGAAAGCTAAATTTGTTTAGTGTATTCACTCAGCTCCCACTTCATCAAGTTCTTTGAGTGATATGTCTTAAAGATAAGTTTTATTCTTCTAACTTTACATTTTAAATTTACAGTTCTACATCTTTTACATTGTTGCTTTTGTGGCTTGAATGGGCCGCTGTGAATATCAGTTACTCGGTTTCGTCAACCTTTCCTGTGATTTAAGAGGCTAGTTAAACTGCCTGTTTACAGAATCACGGCTAGCTGTAGCCTTGGGCGCACTGTCAGCTCTGAGCCTCGCACAGCCCTTGGGACTCGTGCAGCCCTGTGTCCTGCAGGACCACATGCGAGGATCTTTGCTCTGTGTTGTACCCAAGGAGTGCCTTACGCTGTTGGTTTCCCTTGGACTCTCGATTGTAACAGGCCAATTTTTTTTGTATCTGGCAATACTTTATTAAATGAACTTCCTTTTTAAAGAAAAGTTGAGGTGTGACATGTAAAAGTATACAGGCTTGTCTGGTTATTAGCAATAACAAACACATGTACCCACCATCCAAGTCGAGGTGAAACGTGCAGCCAGTGCGATGGTGGTCGCGCCTGTGATCTCTGCTCTTGGGAGACTGACAGGAGGACTGCTACACGTTGGAGCCCAGCATGTACTACATAGACCCTGTCTCCAAAAACAAGACGTTGCAATATCAGAGAACACAATCTTATCCCACCCATTACATGATTTTTTTTTTACATGGTGATTATCCTGATTTATAGCTTTTGGTGGGGGTGGTACTGGGGATTGAACTCAGGACCTTGCGCTTGCCAGGTATGCACTTAGGCTGTGGAGCTGTATCCCCAGCCTGATTATCTTGGTTTTTAATATGCGTTTTTAAACAGCCTGTTCTAAAAATCACAGGGAGAGAAAAAAGAGCCTGTGCAGTCTCTTGGTAAGGTACTAGTCCAGGTCTTTCTCTGTAGTGATTACTAGACTTCATGGTTGGCTTCTGAAAGTCTTCTGAGACTGTCTCTGCTCTGTGAGAATCTAATCCAAATTCCTGATGCTGCATCTAATTAATTAGCACTAAGACTACATGGTTACTGTTTCTGTAAAGATTTTCCCTCAGATACTCCATAAAGCAGATATTCTTTACGTTTATGCCAAGCTGCAATTCTAGTGGTGGGCAGTACGCATGAGTATCATGTAAATTTACTATTGAAAATGGCTGGGCACTGAACTGTCTCAAATATTGGGGAATGGACTAGTATTTCTGACTCAGTCCTAAGTCTACAACTAACGAAATTAAAAGTTGCTGGAGAGCTGTTTGGTTTTCATTGAAATCTGGGGGGTGATTGCCGTATCAGCTGGAAGTGTTCTGAGGCTCCTTGTTTATCTAAGATAGAGTAGTGCTTCTTGAGGTTGGGGCATGCTTTGCTGTGGGTACCTCTCTCCCCCTCGAGTCAGTTTGCTTTAATTTTGCTCATATTTATATAAGAATACTTCGTGGTAGCCATTGTAGAGACTTGCTTCTCCACAGTGAACTCAGATGTGGTTTCCATAAGATGGTCAGTGAGTTCCTGATAAGGACAGGCAGAAAGTAAGGAATGATCACTGTTTGCTTTTTGCTGTGGTATGAAGTGGCTTTTGCAAACTTGTTCAGACTGTCGGTATGCCTCACATGTCAACGCCCACCAGCGGCAGCAGTTTTATTATTTATTTGCTTATTTATTTATTTTTTGTGGAACTGAGGATTGAACTCAGGCCCTTGCACTTGCCAGGCAAGCGCTTATTCA